AACCTGCATGGGACGTTGCTTTTGCTTGGCTACGGGAAGAACCTCACACTCACCATGTAGCTCTGCCTTGGCAGGCCCTGCTGGCTATCCTTTCGACGGCTTTGGTCTGGGGATGGCCTCGCACTGCTGGATGCTTGGCGCTTACCTGGGGTGCCTTGTTGAGAATAGGCGAGACCCTGGCCGCAACGCGCTCGGACCTGCTGCTGCCGGGGGACGTTCAGGACACCTGTGGCTTTGCCCTACTTTCCATTGCGGAGCCTAAGACCAGGTTCAAAGCGGCGCGCCACCAAGTCGCCCGCCTTGACCAGCCTGACTTGCTTAAACTCGTCTCGCTCGTCTTTAAGGACCTGCCGAAGGAGGCAAAGCTTTGGCCGTCTTCGCCCTCTACTTTGAGAAGCAGGTTTGCCTCGCTGGTTAGGGCTCTGGGCATGCACCAGCTCGACATGCCTTCCGGCAAACAGCTTGACCTTGGCTCCCTCCGGGCAGGGGGGGCGACGTGGTTGCTGCAGACTGCTGAGGATTCAGAATTGGTGCATCGACGAGGCAGATGGTTAAATTCGAGGACGATGGAGATATATATTCAGGAGATTGGTGCCCTGACCTTTTTGCATCGGCTAAACCCACGAGCCCGCCGGCTCGTCTTTGGTGCCTTGGGTTCCTTCGCTGCAGTGGTTGAGTGGGCAGAGACCTTTCTCCTGTCAAAGGTACACTCGAGACTTTGGTACCAGCTTTTCTATGGAGGCGCCGCTTGAGGATGGGGAAGATTGGGGTTAATGCTGGCTCCTGCTTTTTACCATGCACCAAGCGCACGCAGTGCAAAAAGTGTGCGAAGCACAGGGTGAGCCGTGAAGTTGAGCACCTGCAGAATAGGTGCGAAACTGTTGGACGGTGATCCTCAAACAAACCCGCCCTCCGCTCCCCGCAGCCTCCATAATGCTGGCTCCTGATTTTTACCATGCACCAAGCGCACGCAGTGCAAAAAGTGTGCGGAGCACAGGGTGAGCCGTGAAGTTGAGCACCTATATAGGGATAATGGAAAACAACATGGAAACTACTTTGTGGCTTTAAGAGGCCTGAGGTGGCGCTTCAGGGCTAGGCTTTTTGAGGGACCGGCGCACAGTTTTCTGTTTCCCGAACACAAACTTACTGGTTTGTAGATAGGGAAGAAGGGAATATAGTCTCTATATAACCCCTATGTAGTGTATTCCCTTATTCCCTACTGACCCCCAGTAAGCAAAGCACAACAAGCCGTAAAGCCAGAAACCAGCTCCTTCTGAACCCCATCCTACGAAAAGCTTGAGGTTCGCAGTTGGTCGCAGTCGCACGCATGCTCAATCTCTCAATAGATCGCCCGTAACTCAAGCTAGTCAATGAGCTGCAATGGTCCGATTTTCCAAAGGCCCTGTAGGTCCTGTGGGTTATTGAGTCTTGCTGAGGACTCAGCGTGGATCTGGTTGTTTTTTTCTGAAGATCCACGCAAGCAGCTGCACAACCGAATCCTTAATAGGGAGTCCTCCAATTTTTCTGCAGTTGCCTTTACTCCTCCTGTTTTCCAGAGAACTGATGAGGGCATATTGGCGAAAAACTTTCACATCATCACACCCTATGCAGCAGCCCGTGATATGTGCTCAGATTGTTTTCGAAAGGTGGTATGCTCTGGGCAGGCACTCCAAAGTTTTGTTTTCAAAGTCAGATTCAGATCTTCGTGTCTGTGTAGTGTCGACAAGGTCTTGAAAGTTTCAGGAGACGATCCTCTGTATTGAAGCATTTGACGGGCTCAAGGCAGCAACTGCAGACAAACATTCGCATTGCCTGTCCAATCCACTTCTACCACTTGAATTGACCATCTATTGCCCATTCCGAGGATGTGTAAGCTGATGATCATGCATTGAACTTCTTCTTGACCAGAACGCATCATAGTGTAGCATCATTCTTTTTTGCAAAGGAGCATTAAATGCGTGATGTGGTGGTCCAAGTTGGTATGCACCTCGGCCCAGAGAAGAAGGGACAACAACTCCACCTCCCAAGGCACTAGACATGGAACCTCAGAGTCCTCACATGACCATGACAAGGTCCCAATTTCCTTCCTCTATTGTGTAGCTCTTGAAGACTCAAATTCCCCAGCTAGTGAACCAGAGTGGAATGATGGCAGCCTGGGCTTTGCCAGCATGCCTGTGGGCCGCAGCCTTGCTTTGCAAGAGTCATGGGGACCTCCGTGATCTCTTGTAACCCGAATGTACATCCCTAGGGTTTGTAGGGGCCTACGGGTTTTGGAATCCCAAAATTTTGTTTGGGGCCGTTTTTGTGAGAGTGCTTTGTACGGCTCAGTTTCCCGACAGTCAGCCGATCGTGCATCCTTCTGAGCACTGCAGCGAAAGCCCCAAGCACGTAACCCTCAGCCAGCAGAACAGGACTTGAAGATTCAAGAGTTGGTTTCAAGCGCAAGCGGAAAGTCAGCAACCTCCAATTGTTGTTTGATAAATCCCACGTGCAATTGCTCCTGAACCTCCAAGAAATGATGCCCTCCCCAGGTCTTGGCACTCTATCCTCTCTTCCAGGTTGTGCTGCGAGGGTTGTCCTGTGTGAAATCTCGTTCACTATCCTACAGTTTTTGGGCTGGCGGTTTGGACCAAGAATGATGGATGCCATTAAGGCTTCAGAGATGAGGTGAATCTGAGGGTAGCATTGCAGACAGTTTCAGCGTGCGCTGGTGCCTTTGCATTGAAGGTGAGTTTTGCAGCGGAAGCAGACCATTTCGATGAAGTGCTGCACTTGAGGCCGCCTACCCCTCAGCAAGCCGGCTTCCCCATAAAGCTTTGGATCCAATTTTGGCTGGTGTACCCACTTTCCATGTTTCTTCCTGAGGTTGCCAAAGATCATGGACTCACCAGACCTTCATCTTGCTCGCTGGGAGTGACACTGCTTGTGATTGAAATGACATTGCTTGTGCGCCTGCATGGTGACTTCCGGAGCAGCGAATCTCACCCCCACATGGCAGGTTCACGATACGAGCTCCGATGACAGAGGCGTTTCTGTCCAACCAGTTTGACTTGTTCCCCAGCCCGATTGGAAAGCTCTTGAACGCGTCTGGCGCTCAGCTGGAAGCAACGAAAGTGCTCACTCTGCTAGGGGACTGGTGAGCTTTGAAGCAGTACGAGGCATGCTTTGCTGTGATTATTGCTCTCGCTCGGCCAAGCTCATGCCAGCATGACATTAGCATGACATTCTGAACGTGTTTTGCACGTGTCCTACCCTTCAGGTTCACGTTGACGCAAGACATGACAACACACAGACATGTGCAGCTATACTTGCACTGGTTGGACAGTCATCGTTGCAGCTTGGTTAGCTTGCGGGCAGCGTTGCCCATCCCCGCCAAGCAGAGGCCGCAGATCGCACCCCTCGCAGTAGGATTTGTGGTGGCTTCTGCAATCAAAGAATATCTATGTGAGTTGCGGGAGGCCATGGCAAGTCCGCTGAAAGGCGTCATGACGACTCCACTGAAAGATGTGATCAAAGAACAGCTCGAGAAGAACGAGGCAATGACGGGAGAACAGAGGTAGTTGGTGTAGCAATGTAGTAGGCATAGCAGGTGGAGAAGGCCAGGCCTTCATCCACTCCGTTTCCGGGTGGACTTGGCCGTGCCTTTTACTTGCGTGCCTACCTGGGATACGCGCCCTGGTAGAACTCTTTCACAAAGGGACCACAAGTTTCAGGAGTGTTTGAGACAACAGTGTGTCCTGTCCAGGTGGTGGATTACATCGAGCGAAAGCAACCCCTGATGGGCCTGTTCATCCCACCGCCCTGCTACCCGCCTCTGGCGATGACAGTTGACAGGCTGGGCTGGGCGGCTTTGGGCAGCACAACAAATTAAAGAAGTGAAGTCTTCTGGGTAGGCTGAAGCCGTACGTTGGAAAGCAGTGTCGCCTCTTCTGATGGGGTTTAAGAGCAGCACAAAGATGGCTTTCTGGTGGGTGCTGCAGTCCTTCAATCAAATGTGTTACCGCCACAGAAACTTCCCAAGGATACCCAAATACGAACTTGGCACTTGCAAGCAGGTTCTTGACAGTGGGACTTCCCAGACTTGCTTTTCTCGTTGTCACTTCCTTCCTGATACTTGGTCCTGGTTCATGCTGGGCGGATCGATTTTCAAGGGAGAATAGCTGCATAAGATAATTTAACCACTGGTACGAGTGTTTCATCGGCTAGGGTGGTAGAAATGGAGTGTGGCTTGAAGACAGCTTGAGGATGTGTCGGAAGAGGGATTGGACGCTTAGTTGGAGCCATATCAACTTACAGCACCATGGCAATCTGCTCAGGCATTTTGTTTTGCACCAGGGGGATGAGGGCAAAAGTGTAAACACGCAGAGGCAGAGTGGCAGCGGTAGACCTGTAGGCAAACAGCATCATGAGTCGGGGTGACCTAGGGGAGGCTGCATCCCGAGCAGCAGGCAGCCGGGCTGCAAAAGAAAACCAATCAGCATCAACCTCAGGAGGGTGGGAAGGAGTCCTGAGATCCAAACGCCCCAGGCCTCTGACCTCGGCGGATTCATGCGAGAACCTTTGAGGAACTCTACTTCTAAGCGCCGTTTGCCTGCTGCCTCGAAAGCCCGAGCTGCAGATGAAAACAAGAAAATTCAGCCAACCCAACCGCAAAAGTGCCCGCGCTCAAGCAGCAATGGAAACCCAAACATTTCCCATTTTGCCCTCTGCCCGTAGCAACTGATGACAGCAGTGCCCACCAATTCTGCAAATCGTTCCTTTCATAAAAATCCTAACCTGATGTGGAAGAGCCTGGCGTTCTGCTGCAGCGTGGAGAGCAGTCCTCGAGGGTAAATGCAGGTAGCCAAAGTGGTTCTGAGTTCTGTGGTCCTTCATCTATTGCGCGAAAGTATAAGATCTCGAAATCAGGAGCGAGATTTCGATTTCCAGACAGTCGACCCCACATGTTGCAAAAGGTGACGAACCAACATTTTGTGAAGAAGACCAATGCAAGGATATCCATGGGAGTCATGCTGACGCTTTCCTATTTGCATATGTGGACTGCCCTATGCATCTCGGCTTGCAGTTGGCGTTCTTATCAGGAACAGTGAGCTCCCCTTCTGCTTTCATGCTTACAGTGTTACTACCATGATTGCTGCTGTCGTATTGGTATCAGTCTGGTGTATGCTGCGCCTCCTGTCCACCAGCCTTCAGACCCTCGAGAAGGTCAATGAGTATGCGCCTGGGGTATTCCAAACAGTTGCCCCCAACAATGATCCATGCATTCTTCGCACGTATTCGTGGTACTTTCTATATGTAATGGGACACTGTGTCCACGTGATCCCTTAATCGACATATCATCTATAGTTTTGACTTGGGCTTGCCAGGCATCTGTGCGCCTCCGACCCTGTATGGTGGCTACCGGCACTACAGGAAGCGCACAAAGATCCCCGCCATCCTCAGGCTGAAGGGGGACTCCAGTGCTTCTTGGCAAATGTAGAAAGTAGTGGTGGTAGTGGACGAAGTGGCGAAAGTGGCGGAGGTAGTGGTGGTACCAGTCAGCAGCATGATGAGGCATGCCTCCATGCCGATTGCAATCTCCAACTTAGAAACACAAGAAGATGCTGTAAGTAACGTCTATTGGCATGTTCACGTTCTGAAGCAATTTTGAAGGGTCGGCGCTAGGTTAGGCTTGGGTTCATGCAGGGCGCAAACATTTAGAACCCCCGGCCATCAAACCACATCCGTGACTCTGTTTTCCTTGCACTTCGGCAAACGTTGTTGTAGTAGTTGTTGTGCTTCTTGTTGTGCTCTTTTCGCAGTGGTCGTCGCAGCAGCAGTAGCAGCAGAAGTAGCAGCGGCAGTGGTAGCATGGTGGTAGTATGTACTGGTAGCAGCTGCAAAGGCAGCAGCAGCCGTAGCAGTAATGCCAGAAAATAGCAGTAGTGCAACAACAGAAAGGAAGAAAGAAGGGCCGTAACGCAAGCTATGACACGGCGGGCAGCATGCATACCAGTTGGATTCCCTCAGTTTCTTGTGTCTGCAACTTGCTACTACGGCGGCCCCTTTTCCCCTAACTTTATCAGGCAACATGAGCCTCAGACTAAAATCACGAGAAACTGTATCCCACAAATCTCAGATCCAAGCCCTAATGACATCCAACTGTGCCCCATGCTACGGACCCAAATGACCCATGTTTCCCACCTAGGACACAGCAGTCAGAAGATACAACATTTTCAAAGAAATACGGGACGTCCTATGGCTAGAATTTCCAAGTCGCAAGAATCCTTACAACTTTCAACGAACATTTTATCAAATCCAAATCGCATATGCTTGCATCCCTGTGAAGCCTTCATGTAATCTCTGTAAAACCCTTTCAGGAGGTGAACTGTCATTGACACGAAGGTGTTCACAAGGAGCATTTTCAAGAGGATTTCAATCCAAGAATGCAGTTCTTACCCAACAAAGGGTACGTACAAGCTCACCGAGAACCACTTGTACTTTTGAAAAACCCTGAACCTCCTGGAGATTTGTCCGAGCACACTTTGAACTTGGAACCTCTTGAAGGCTTACAGAACCCTAAACCCTAAACCTGAAAGTGTTGCCTCAGATCCGACAAGGACTGGTCAAAGCACCCCGAAGAGTTCTTCGACATCAACACCCCGGATGCGATCGCGCGCCGGAGGAAGGCGGCATGGCTTTGCGAGGGCGGCGAACGGTTTTAGAGTTTAGGTGCAGGGGACTCTAGAGCTCATGCACTTGGCGGTTGAGATGGATTGAGGGTTTCTTTTTTTGGCTTTAGTTTTGCTGGAGCTGGAGAGGGGTAGACGAGTGGTAATGTTGCTCTCCCCCCATGACTGGGTCAGAGGCCACAACGCGTCGCAATGACCGAACAAATTCCAAGAACACGCTCAGGCAGTTATTCAACAAGGGATCCCAACTCGTATTCCTGTTGTATTTTCTTGATTTTTTTGCCGAGACTATCTGCTTCAAACAGGCTGGGGTCTGGAATTCAACAGGGACCCGCAAAAAAATGTCTTGACCAACACGTCATTCTCCCTGCTTCATGCGACCCCGTGACGAGGGTCGTGCCAATGCCCCTTGAATATTTCCCACGGGCAGAGCTCAGTCAAGTGTTTCTGCAATGCGTTTGAGGGGATCCAGAATCCGTAGAATCCAAGTAAAGCTTCCTGAGCCCACCCAGGACCACCATCAGGATAAAGCACTGGTCAGAGACTGTCGTACTGCATCACAGGCGGCTGAAGAGACCATCGAGTCTGTCAATGCTGGAGCCGCGCAGAAGTTCAACGAGTATGCTACGCGACCAAAGTTGGGCTTCGCGTTCTGCAGAACCCTCTGAATCTGACAAAGCATCGTGTCGTGTCAAATGCGCTTGTGGAGTCTAGCATGATGTGCCGGCGTGCTGATGCAGTATCTGACGCTGTTTAAGCGTCTTTTGCTTTGATGCCATGCGCGTTGAGAAAAAACCATCAACGAGTAGAGTCAGGGAGTCAGGGAGTTGCCTGAACGCCGTGCCGCTCCAAATGGGCAGTCCTTGATGAATGAGACGCTAAGTAGGACCCCAGTAATCTCGTAGGGTTCTTGGAATCTTTAGTAATGTCAATGCCGTTGGAAGCATCCCTGAAAGCCACCCAGGTGAGAAAAGTCGATGCCCTGGCCATATACGGATGCGGCTGCTCGGCCAGAAATGGAGCTTCCAAGCACGCCTGAATACCGTAGTCATTGTCATCACCTTTCTGTGAGGCAAGGTTGGGAAAGGGGTTGCTTAGCCAACAAAAATCAGGGTCGCTTAGCAAACGCTTTTTGGGGTCGCTTTGGCAGGTATTTTCATGCCCGCTGCTCTGCGGCTAAGTGGTTCCTTCAGCCATCTCAGCTTTCGACCTGACTCTGATTTAGTAGCTGGAAGGTATCTGCGGGCATGTGTTGGGGTCCGTGTTGCATGTCCATATCGTGTTTCGACAGCCAACACGGGGTCTCAGGGTTTACAGGTCAGGGTTGAAGCTGGGCTGCCAGCGCAAGCAATGGCAGCACCAAGCGAGGGCTGCTGTTCGGGGGAGCTCAGAGAGGGGCAGCACATAAGATATCCACTTCGGCGATGTTTCCACAAAGTTCGGGTAACCCCTGCCCCTTTGTCAAACCCCCCCTTCCCCAGCCTTGTTTTCTGGTTATTATCATCATTAGGGTATGGGTATTCGGATGCTCTCATCATCGAGTGCATTCGAACACGAACGGAAGAATTGCTTGAGCATGGATGCCCTCGTCATCGAGGGCACTCGAACAAGAACGTTATTATGGTTTGGGCATGGATGCTCTGGTAACCGTATGCTCTTGGAACACGATCGTTATTATGGTTTGGGCTTGGATGCTTTCAACATCGAGTGCACTCGAACACGAACGTTATTATGGTTTGGGCATGGATGCTTTCATCATGGAGTGCACTCGAACACGATCGTTATTATGGTTGGGGCATGGATGCTCTCAAGATCAAGTGCACCCCGAAACCCTAAACCCTTGAACCCTAAATCCCAAACCCCTAAACCCTAATCCAAAATCCCTACACCCTGAACCCAACCCCTAAACCCCAAACCCTCAAAACCCTAAACCCTAAATCCAAAACCCCTAAACCCTAAAGCCTGAATCCAAAACCCCCAAAGCCTTAAACCCCTAAACCCTAACTCCAAAATCCCCAAACCCTAAACCCGAAATCCAAACCCCCCAAACCCTACACCCTTAATCCAAAACCCCTAAACCCTAAACCCTGAATCCAAAACACGTAAACCCTCAACCCAAACCCAGACCCTAAGCCCTAAATCCAGAACCCCCAAGCCCAAAATCCAAAACCCCTAAACCCTAAACCCTAAATTCAAAACCCGTAAACCCAAAACCTAAATCCCAAACCCCTAAACCCTCAATCCCAAAACCCCACAACCCTAATCCCAAGACCCCTAAACCCAAAACCCAAAACCCCCGGGAACCCTAAACCCTAAACCCAGAACCCCCCCTAAATCCCAAACCTCTAAACCCTAAATCCCAAAACCCCAAAACCTTAATCCCAAAACCCCTAAACCCTAAACCCAAAACCCCCCCCAACCCTAAACCCCTAATCCAAAACCCCTTAAACCCAAAATCCCCCAACCCCCCTGAACCCTATATCCCAAACCCCTAAAGCCTAAATCGCAAACCCCTAAGCCCTAAACCCAAAACCCTCAAACCCTAAATCCTACATCCAAAGCACCCAAACCCTAAATCCTCCCAGAATCGTGAATTGGCTAAGTGACCCGCATTTTTGTTGGCTTAAACACCCTCGCGCGCACACCCTTCCCGCAGGACAGCAGCGTGGATTGGCTAAGTGACCCGCGTTTATGTTGGCTAAGTGACCCGAAACAGTGACCAGCGTTTTTGTTGGCTAAGTGACCCTTGGCCCAGTTGCCTTAGCACTTGCAACCCTAACCCTGAAAGCCTAGACCCGAGCCTTCCATCAGGAATTCTGGCAGCGACTCACGTTGGCGGACTCCGTGCCCTAGAGCGCCATGGGATGGAGTTTCGGCCGCTTGGTGAAGGAAAGAAGAACAGCGAACATATGACATGCTGGGGCAGAAAGCAATCCAGGTATATCTCATGAACAACTTATGGCCTAGAGCCTATCAAATTCACCAACCCTGGTGTTGTGTAGTATACTTTGGCCAACAAGAAGATGGCAGAGCGGTCTGACTGTCAAAGCAGGCAAGCATCCCAGCAGGATGAAAGTCCAGCTGTCTCGAAAGCCATAGCAACAATTCGTTGAAGATTTTGTAACGGTACCATCTGAATATCTTTAGTTCAGCCCTCAGCCAGGAATCTGAAGACGTTGGCTGGGGTGTCTGCTGGATCAGTCGTGGCAGCCATGCTAGCAGTCGGTTGCAACGCGGATGAGATCTTTAATCTGATTCTTGGCCGCGCTGTCATTGAAGAGCGTACTGTCTGCTGGCTTCTGTAGACGAAGACTTGGCACAGACAGCAGCTTGAATAATAACATATAACTGTACTATAATCTACTATCATATGCAGTAATCTACTACAATATACATTAATATACTATAATGTACTATAATATACTTAGTTTAGTTAATATAGTAAGGGTCCAGAAGCTGCCCTTCCACAAGATCGCTCACCCAGAGCTGGGCTCGTTGCTTCGCATTCTGGGGAACATCGTGCGGCTTGGCTGCTCCGAGGGCTGCGGGATAGCTGCGATAGCTGCAAGTACTTGGGTCGGCACTTTGCCTGAGAATTATCAACCTTAAGTGCGTGGTCTGGTCTGGATGCAGCTGATGCAACAGAAATTTATTGAACTCCTGGCTTGCTGGGATTGGCTGCCGAGGCAGAGCATTCTAAAGGCCACGGTGGGCGTGCATGCGGCAGAGGTGGTCGATTGCCTAGTTGCAGGCCGGGCCCATGACTGGAACCTACAGCGGGCCACATGATGCAAATGTTTGCCAAGCAACATGCGAGTGCCGACAGTGCATTTTATATTCCCTATGTCTACCCTCAAAGTGGTTTGCAAGACCCTGCAGATGTCACCGGTCCTGGAATCAACAGCGGGGGCCGTCTGGAGGAGCCCAGCCTGCGGGTGCTCAGCACACCTCCGCACGTCTTTGCTAGAGCGGGTTGCTTGCAGACTTAATTTTGGCTGTTTTTGTGAAGGAGATGGTTGGCAACGCTCTGAAAGAGCAGTGTTGCTTGCCCGACTTGAGAGCACGGGGCTTTCGCAAGTTTTCGGGGCATTCTGCTGATGATAGTAGATAGACAAACGGCTGTGGCCTTGTCTTGCTGAGGCGGTGATGCTGCCATTACCCTCAAGGCTGTGCAGGACAGATTTGGCAGCTTGGCAGAGTTCCATGCGATTTTTTTACATGGTCTGAAGCATATCGATGCGGAGCGTCCACTGAGGCAAGCGCTTGGTAATCCTCGCATGTGAGCTGGACTCCGGGCATGAGAAGAGGTTCACACCAGAAACAGATCCCGACTTGCCGCTACGCGCAGCCGTGCGGATGTCCATGGGAGTGCCTGGTCTCATGGAGCCTTTCAGATACCAAGGCGAGGCCCACCAAATTTTGTCATGTGCTCAGCTTTTCGTGCACCCGACCAAGTAAATCCTGGGAGGACACATGTACTGTGACGGCGGCATGTGCAATGACTTCCCGGTGGACGCCCTGCCGCAAGAAGCCACGCGCATGGGACTGATGGTACGGCCGATCGATTGGATCCGTCATCATCTTCCAGGCATGCTTGTCGTGCTACCTTGCAAGCTCTTCTTGCTGTGTCAGCAAGAAATGAGCGTTACACTTCTTGCTTCTTTGGACATACCTTCGTGATGCAGTAGCAACACTCAGTTGGTAGCAGAGATGCCAGTTCATGGTTCTAAGTAGAATCTTGCTCTGACAATGAGAGGATTCCCCTGTTTGGGACCTCCCCAGCCTTCCCGTGGAGCGTTTTTGCCCTGGCCGCAGATTTGGGGAGCATCATTCCCGTGGAGAAGCTAAAGAACCATCCAGAAGTTATGGCCCACTTGGATATGCAGAAGAACAAAAGCCCATCGCTGTTTTCTGTGAAGTCCATCTTGGACCTGGCTTTAACCTCAGTGCCGCGGCTTATCAGTGAGCACCTCTTTCTTCAATGTGAGGCAACTTGTGCTGTCTACTGCTGTTCTGCAGTCATTTATTCTTGAAGCATGTACCTTGATTTGGATCCAAATTAGCAAGAAGTGCAAGCGTACGCTGTAAGCCTGTCAGAAGTCAAGATAGAACAGCCCGGCAGTCCATTGGCGGTGCCTGTGGCTTTCGCTTTTTGAGGTGAACATCATGATGGACGCCAACCTCGTCCTACAAATTGAGGTTCGCCAATCTCTACTTGTTGCGTAATCCAGTCACATGGGGGTCTGCTCAAAGCACTGCTCTATCATGATCGGCGGAGACTGTCAGCCAAATGGGCACTTTCAAAAAAGAGAGTCCCAACTCCCTTCACTCAAATACTAGGTAGGGGCCGTATCGAAAAGGTTATTTGAAGCAGGCATCCCAAGCTTCATATACCCCTTATATCACCCCTATATACCCTTAGATCGCCCCTATATACCCTTAGATCATCCCTATATGCCCGTAGATCACCCCTATATACCCTTAGATCGCCCCTACATACCCTTAGATCGCCCCTATATACCCTAAGATCACCCCTATATGCCCGTAGATCGCCCCTATATACCCTTAGGGCACCCCTATATACCCTTAGATCACCCCTATATACCCTTAGATCACCCCTATATACCCCTGTTTGATCATAAAAATCTTCGAGGCTGCCACAGCCAAAAAAGGCTTCCGACAGAGCTCTGGCATCTCAGGCCTGACAATGAATGGGTTTGAGAGGGAAGCTAAATGGGGGGTTTCCTAAAGGGGGATGATGGAAAAGAAGATGTAAACTACTGTTTAGGGTTTAGGGTTTGGGGGTTTCCCAAAATTAGGGTACCTTTTTGGGGGTCCCCATAATACGGATTACAGTATTTTTGGGTCTATATAGGGGTCCCCCTATTTTGGGAAATTACCAAATGTGAACTCCAAGGGTCAATTCTTGTTTTGATTCACTTCGTATGATATCAGGGGGATGTGGTCGGTGCCATAAGCTCTGGTCAAGCGCCACATCTCGTTGGAAAGCAAGGCGGTGGAATTTCCCTGAGAGCTTCAGAGTGTACACTGTTTTTGTCTGATGCTGCACACCTCAAGTGGCTTTGCCAACCCTGCAGGCCTTGCGCCTGAGATCCTCACGCCACTTGGGCTACAAGTGGGTGATTTCCAAAAACGTGCCGACTTTTTGGGAGGTCGTGCAGTCATGCAGCAACCGGCATGTTCCTGAATGGAGAGCTGGCAGGCCCATTTGGATTCTGTTGAAATGTCAAGGTGCAGAAGACGAGGGTTGTCGGTAGTGGCATGAAGAGGAAGCACAGAGCACCGCAAAAAGCAAGGGATCAGGACGAGTATAGGAAGTTGGAGGAGAAGGCAGAAGGAGAAAGCAGAGGAACAGAAAGCAACAGGAGACAGCTACTACACACAGCGATGCAACAAGATGAGCAGGAGGCTTGCAGTTATGATCTTTGGATGCCTTACCTATTTTGGCCTTTTCATGAGTATTCATATGGCATTACCATCTCATCGACGACATCACACAACCACTACCATGGATTTTTATTAGCACATAGGCAACTGTTGTACCCGTGATCGGCGGGACATTCATAACAAGGATGGATTGGCTGAGCTAGTTGGAGCAAACACCTTTACCATACTGTTGGGAAAAGTTATGTGATTGGGGTAACACAGTGGCATCGGGGAACAGCTCTGCGTGTTTGCCTGGAAGTCAACCCTTGACTTTGCAAGATGAGGCTGTGCGGAGGCAAATACGACCCGTTTGACTTCAACCTGACCAAAGACCAGCACTTGTCATGCAGACTAGGAGACGGAGCTGTTGTCTTTGTCGCGGCCCTCGTCTTTGTAGTTGCAATCTGAGTTATATAGTCGCATAGTCGTGGTCCCACAGTCATCAGGAGCTGTGGCAGGAAGAAATGGGAGTAGGAGCAGGAGTATGAGTAGAAGGGTAGGAGTAAGAGTAGGGGTGGGGGCAGGAGGAGGAGTGTGGTGGCAGTTGTGGCGGTTGTGGCAGTTGTGGCAGTTGTGGCTGTTGTGGCGCTTGTGGTGGTTGTGGTGGTTGTTGTGGTGGTGGTGCTGCTGGTGCTGGTGGTGGCGGTGGTGCTGGTGGTGGTGGTGGTGGTGGTGGTGGTGGTGGTGCTGGTGGTGGTGCTGGTGGTAGTGGCGGCGGATAGCAGCAGCAGCTGCCGCAGCCGCAGCAGCCGAGGCAGCGTCGGTGCAGCAGCAGCAGCGGCGGCGGCGGCGGCGGCAGCGGCAGCGGCAGCGGCAGCGGCAGGGGGCTGCAGCAGCGGAAGCAGCCGTAGCAGCCGCAGCGGCAGGGGCAGCGGAAGAACAAGGACGTGTAATGGCAGCAGCATTAGCGGTAGCAGTTGTGGTGATGATGGTGCTGGCTAGGGTGGTGGCACTGGTAGGACAGGGTTGCAGTGGCAGCAGTAGTAGAGGCATTTGCATCTCAGTACCAGTTACCGAGTGTGCGCTTGCCAGCTTGCTTGTCACAGGCTGCTGGTTTTCTCGTGTAAGGTTAGATTTCTGAGATTAGTTGTTTTGCTTGATCTGTGAAATTGTGATGGCTTCCCTTACCACCCCCGATACCAACTCTCCTAGATTCCCCCTTAATTAGGGTTATGTAGGGAGCATTACCGCTATTGAAATCTAAGCAAGGGGGAGCCTAAGGCAGGGTAAACCCGCAGTCCTGCACGAGTTTAGAGAAAAGGTCCGAAGAAAGAACCTTGAACCCAGGAAATGACATACATCGGTTCCGATAGCTCAGGCATCGCGAGCTCTTTCTGGCTGGCCAGCTCAGTGCCTCCAGCAACTTATGTCACCCTGCAAAGCTGTTATTTGGGGTATATACGGGGCTTATCTAGGGGTATATGAGAGTGTATCTAGGGTTCAGGGATTGGAGTTTAGGCTAGATGTGTGCCCCATGCGCAGACAATCCTTGAAAATTGCGAAAGCTGGGCGCAAGTCTTACGTGACAGGGGAACCCTAGCAAAAGATCAGCGAGCCTACATGGGTATCCAAAAAAAGCCTTCTAACCACACCCTGGGACAACCCGGATAAGTACCCCGAGAGTATGAGCATGGTATGCCGAGAGGCTAGATTGCTAGATCCAAACACTCATTATACTGGTACTGTTCGTACGGATTCTGGTTACCAGCTCCTCATTTATATTATCTTTGTCATTTTCTCATCCTTGCTACAATTATCATTTCCATTATCGGTTCTTCTCATGTTGACGGTCGTGTTGGTTGCTTCTTGTTGTGGTGGTAGTGGTTTTGATGGCGGCGGCGGCAGTGGTGGTTCTGGTGGCGGCGGCGGCGGTGGTTCTTGCTGATGCTTGTGGACCAGCCACCTTGTCAGGTACGCACCTACATGCATCTGTGGTGGATGCGACCTCCGAGGTGTTGCCTGATGAGGGCAAGCTGAAGACCGTGCTATATACGTTACACATGGACTATCCGACAGCCACTTAGTCCCCAATCAGGCTTTATCACGAGAGCCAAGCAGGAGACTAAGCGGGTTTGTCAGGAGTCACCACCCGAGGGCCTGCACAGCTTCTCATTTGAAAGACCCAAGGGCGTTTCAGGTTCCTGGTGGATATGTCCACACTCAGCAGCTTCCGCCCAAAGTGGCGGGATGAAAACCGCAAGTTGGCTTCCAGACTCCAGACTCTTGCTTGCCTCAGCTCGGGATTGAACACCCAGATTGAATGGGAGCCTCCAGCATTGATTCTCAGAAAGCCAAAAGCGCAAAAGAAAGTCCAGGCTGACGAGCTGATCCCAGATTCCTGTTTCAAGCTTTTTTGAGATCTCGCGATGCTCTTGGTATGTGCATGTCAAGGTTTGCTGGCATTCGGCTGAGGCATCCGGCCATTCGAGCTTTTGAAGCCACGTTGACGCGGGGCCGCTGGAAGCAGGACTGGGGAGAGGCACCCTGGGAGCGCGGCTCTGAGTTGGAGCGGGTTTGGCATCACCGATTTGTATGAGTCCTTCGAGTGGGTGAGGCTGCGCCCTCCCGGCGCCGTCTTGGCTACAGCGCTGAAAGCCGAGAACGCCACGGAGGCAACTTTGGGAAGGGGCTTACGTTACAGGATATGTAGGATTAAGAAGGATTCAACAATGGAAAGCTTGCATGATTTGCATGGGAATCGTAGAAGCCTGGGTGTGAGGTCCTCGCAAAAAGTGATGGTGCCCGGTCCGATGTAGTCACCCTGTAAAGCAAGAGAAGTCTGATAATCAGCCCAAGAAACCTCTCATGGCCAGGTCCTAAGTCCCTCCGGGGATCCCGGGTTCACTTTGAGCATTTACGTGTTGTTGATCACTCGGGACTCGATGTAGTGAATTTCTATTATATACGTGGATCCAGCCCCAATGGCCAGCCCCGATGCTCCTCTCATCCCCAGCCTTACCCCTCGCTGTGCCCAAAGTGACGCTAAGCCCTAAGGCTGCCAGCTCATCAACACTGGCCGCTGCATATCGCTTCCTGGCCCCTTGAATGGAAGGGTAGTAGGTTACAACTCTTCATACACGTAGCATGATGCTCTCAGGTGGCAGGAAAGGTACTACACGCAATTGAAAAACAAGTAGACTAGGGAAAGTGGCTGCTAGCCAAAGCTAGCAGAGTGGTGGTAGTATCCTCCTTGACGTCAAATCGGTTCTGAAGGCTCTGAGGATTGATTTAAAGCAGATACTGACCATTCTGGCAGGACCCATGCCGCAACGCTTTCAGGTGTTTCTTCAATCGGCAGTTGCAAGTCTTTAAGCGCCCGCTATCGCACATTGAAGAGAGTCTCCAAACCAAAATGAGTGCACCCAAGACCATGCTAGTACAATCAGGTCAACAACCGTCATAGTGGGTCCATGTGGAGTATACAAAAGACGCGGCTAACATCAGCCCCGTTGTGGTTTGGGGAGCCCAAACTCTGAGACCCGAGGTCTCCACACTTTCTGGAGCTCTATGCGCTTCCTTTGAAGGCTTGCACGGGGACAGCTGGCCACTGCAAAGCCGAAACAGGATAGGACGTTTCTGCGGCCTGCTTCTTGCTGGTTCATGGTTCTTTGTTTTGTTTATGGCTGTGATGAGAAGTATGGCGTTGATGCTGGTGAGTCTCTGAGCAAACCCACAATTTCCTCGTAGAATTATGATTTCTGGTGACTTCAGACGTAGCAGAGCTCCAAACCTTGTAGCCTGAATCCTGTGCCCGTGGGTCCTTCTGTTGAAGAGTTGTAGCAAGAAGCAAGGTCGGTATTCCATGAACTGATTCCTACGCTTCAATCCTCACCCCGAATGTCTGCTTCTGACATGAACCTCGCCCCTGCCCCTAAGTCTTGCCAGTATGCTATCTTGCCACTTGGCCAGAAAGACTCAGCATCATGTTGAGCCGGATACTTCCCGGCGGAGATTGCTGTCCTAAACCGTAAACCTTATAAACCCCAAACCCAAAACCTTCAACCTTAAGCCCCGACCAGGCATGGATCCTACTCTTTCAAGCGCTGCGGTCACTGCTGCAGCGGAGGGCCGGGAGGGCACGCCAGCTGCTGACAGGCATGCCACGCTGGAATGATTTTTTCTCCAATCCTACTTTTTTTCCCTAGCATGATACAGATGACAATGGTGATGATGATGATGCTGATAATGAGAATGATGATAATGATAATAATGATAGTAATGATAATACAGTAATGATAATATTGATGACAATGACGATAGTGATTATGATGAGGAGGAGTTCTCTGGTAACTTTAAGGTAGAAGTCCTTGCTGCCAATGTATGCATAGTCGTCAGCAACCTGCTATCATCATCAGACTTTGTCCTCATCGTTACCCTGGGACATGAGAATGAAGCGCAACAGGCTTAAAGCCTAAACCCTAAACCCATTGTCAGGCATTAAAGGTCCGAGTGGTTGTAAAAAAAAAGCCATTGTCAGTCCGGAATCTAGGCCACAGCGATTGGTGAGTGGTTTGAATGCGGGTCCCGTCTTTGATCCAAGTGGAAAGCTGTAGGAGTCAAAGCCAGTTCAATCCTCACTCCAGTTGAGCCCCATGTGGAGTACATTATTCTGTGTATCGCTTTGGCATCATTCCTCCTAGTAATGAACCTTCCTAGTATGGTGTCATGGTATTAGTACCATCAGTGTCAAACAGAGGTGGGGGTTTATTACTATTATTCTTACTAATATTTTTTTTATTATTCCCAGTATTATTACTATGATTATTATTAGTGATTATTAGTGCCCTCAGTGCTAAGAAACCTATATTCCCCCAGTTTCCATTTCATTTTCCATTTTGTTTTCCATTTGATTCTCCATTATGGGGGGATAATATAGTAACTTAAGAGGTGGAGGATGGTGGTTTGCGCGAGGCTTCTCACCTCCGGCGTTGGCGCGCGGCCGCTTAGTTTGCCTCACAGCTGGACGGTCAAAGAACACGTCCGGCTGGCCGGGCGCTGAGGGTCTAGAGTTTAGGAGTTCAGGGGTTTAGGAGTTCAGGGTTTAGAGATTTAGGAGTTTAGGGTTTAGTCGTTCAGGGTTGAGGGTTTAGGGGTTCAGGTTTAGGGTTTTGGGATTTAGGGTTTAGGGGTTTAGGGATTCAGGGTTCGCAAAATTGGCGGGCGAAGTCAGGGTTCTGAGCAGATTCTCTTGGTCTTGTCTTGTCTTCATGGACCGTTTTGAGAAACCCATGCGTCAGAAAAAGATACAGCAGGAGCAACGGGTCAAGAGAGGTCAGTACTATGAGTGAGTGAGTGAGTGAGTGAGTGAGTGAGTGAGTGAGCAGTTGAAAGAGTGATTCCTGTAAAGCTTTGTAATTGCAACAATTAGACCCTTGGTTCGAAGAATGATGGATAATTAGCTGGACCAAATGTACGTGTTTTGGTGCCTACATTTTATGGGCTGTCATGACACTTGCATTCTGCAAAGTTGTCTCGGTTTGTCGTTGTAATGCGATCCAAGCTGGGCCTTAATCTCGTCAGGCTCCTGTTTGTCAGTTGTCTGTAAGGATGGCATTGCATGCAGAGCAGAAGCCTCTGGATGGCCGGTGCTTAGGCCAGCTTGCCTTACGAGCCCGTGTGCACGGAGAATCTGACTCCTTGGCTCAAGCTCCTACCTTGTGGCCGTGGGCTTGGCTTTTTTCAACACAGGTTCGTTTTCAAGACTCAAGGCAGGGAGTCTCTGGGTTTGCTCTGGTTGTTGAAGTGATGAGCCATCAGGCAGTATTGCGCTCAAACTCTCACAGCATGTGTTTTCGTTTTGCATTTGTGGTGTCACGGCGACGACATGCCTTTTTTTGAGGGGCCCAAGAGGGAAACAAGTGTCACCTTGCGCAGCAGAAGCAGTCAATGCCTCCCCTTCACACCAGATTTCAAAGCATCGTCGGAGAATGGTGAGAGTTTCAAGAGAGCCGCCCAAGGACATTTTTTCTCAAAAGAGTGTAGTGACGCGGTGTTTTGGTAGCCACCCCAAAGCTGAAGCGGGAGCACGCAAAAGATTAATTAGAGCTTGGGGCCGAATTGCTGTGTTTGGTCAATCTTTCGAGCAGCATCGCCCCATCATCCTGCTTCTCACCTCACACAGTGACCACACTACGGCGGCTACTTAACGACCTTTCGCGTCAAAGTTCGCATATGATGTATCCATGAGAGATCATGAGAGGTACCATCATCGTCCCAGTGAACCGAAAGTGTTCGATCCACCGGGATGATGGTTTTTCTCACGGATACAATATACGAGAACTTTGACGTGGAAGAGTCACTTTAGAGCTCTGCTCCGGCCGCTGATAGCCTGCTCGATGTTGAGCGCTGCAAGAGCCTCGAAGGCTTTTGACAGGATAGCAAATGGCTTATAAGGGGGGGACATGCTACTTTCACGAGCTCGCAAGCTTTGGACATAGCGGACGACTTCGCTGCAGCTGCAGCCGCCAAACCCGCAATGCCGACGGAGATTTGCAAACACCTGGGAGGTGAATTTCTCTGAGAGTCCTCGTGTGTAGGGTGTGTTAGCAGCATGCTTCAGCAGTTGAGTACATCTTGCAGGTAAACTTGAAAAGCCAGAAGAGCGGAGGTAGTTTCGAGCTTTCACCACAGGATCGTCAAAATCACAAAGCAGCAAAAGGCTGAAATAGCCGATAGCCCTTTGTGCAGACAATGCGTAGCAATTCTGACTACCAGATGATTACTGTACTGCAGCTCTTTCAGGGCTCTGCAGTGCTATTGCTGCTAGTACCCTACCACTACACAAGTGCTCTATGATTACAGAAAGTACAGAAACTGTGCCCAGAAACTGCTTCTCTGTTCCCTAAACCCTAAACCTCTACAAATCATGTCGAAGGCCGACACAGAGGCCTGGCCGCGCTGTTGGCCTCACTGGTGCTGCCAGCCGCAGAGGTCTGATGTTGCGATGGTCCCCGCACGTTTTGTCGGGAGTACGATTGATACGGATAGCCAGAGCACCAAAAGCAGACAAAGTCGTAATGAAGAAAGATGAAAGAACTTGTCGGGGTGCTAGTCCATGGTAGCATATGCTTTTGTCCTAGACTCGGCATGATCATTTTCTGTTGCGCACACTTGATTCCGTATACTGTCGTGTGCTCCACGTCATGTTGTGATGCCTTGTTGAGACAAGTATGCCCTTGCGCTTCATGATGATCTTAGATTTTTTTTGGGGCCTTGCAGTTGGGAAAAGCTTGGCATGCTTCAGGCTTTCTCGTTCGCCATGTCTGGTGTCCTGTAGCATCCTTCGTCTGATGCTTCCTGCAAGATTGCCTTCTGACATGGGCACCTGAGATAGTCTCGTTTCGTGCACCATCCTCATTGAGAGCAGCTGGCACTTGAGGTCCTCAGACCCACTAAAGTACAGTCTGGTAGCTGTTTCGTGCATGGGCGTGCATGCGCCCTGCTTTACAGAGGCTCCGCTGGTGTCCCTGTCTCTTGTCACCACCCGTGATGAGCGCCGACCTCTGTGATGCTAAGACTGCTTAGAGATCTCGGAGTTCAGCATGATTAACTCAATGCAAAGCATATTGAACGCACATTTTTCAACGGAAAGCATGTGAGACACACAGTCTTCAGATGGCTTGAGCATGGGCGTGCGCTTGGTGCCATGTGCCCAGGGAGTCAACACTGATTACAGCGTCCCTGGATGCGGTGCGCCGATCTCACGACACGGGTTCCAGGACAAGTAGTGTGTTGATGCTCGTAGGTACTCCCCAGCACAGATGAGAATGGTGGGATCGCTCTGCCTGGATGGCTCAAGGCCTTCACAGCCCCGTGGTGGCAAGATGCACCATGCAGAGCGAACTCACCAGCACCGAGCACTCTCACACTCACCCAGGAGCGTCGGGTTGATCATTGCCCAGCGGCTGCCAGGTTCTCAGCTGTTTGTTGAGCGCCCAGTAGTTGCTGGTTAAAAGATTATAGTTAGCAATTGTGCTGAGCGCAGGCTTCTTCTCAGATTACACTCTGGTCTCCTGGAGATGTCCCGGAGGAGCTGCAGAGGTGTGGGCACAGCTCCTTCCTCTCCTTGCCGGGTTATGTCTTGAACCTAATTTTTGACGTCCAGAAAGGTTGGCAGAAGCGCGGAAGCAGCCAGCACCGGGTGGTGGCCAGGCCAGAGTTAAGCCTGGATGTTAGTTGCAGGACATTACTGTAGCAACTGAAATCGGCCTTTGTCAGGTTTCTGTATTTCCGACGAAGCTGCAGGAATCCTACGCAATCATTCAAGTTGTGCACAGCTTGCCCTTGGGCAGTGTTTCATGGCGGACGCACTGCAGCTGGGCCCAGCTGGACAGCATTGCGACGTGAACCCGTATTATGGAATGGACGCTGAAGCACCGCCCAGGCTGAGTCAAGTTGAGCGTATGGACCTGCCCAGCTCTTAGATTTTCTGGCTTGCAGCAATCAGATAGAACGTGCTCCTTCCCATTTTTCCTGATTCTTGGACACCTTTGGCCGAAGGCTTTTCAGCAGCCGGCAGCCCAGCTTTGCTTTTGCCGCCGAGTTGATGTGAGCTGATGCGTCATTCCCACGCGATGCTTGCATAGCCGCATCATTCCGTTGTTCAGGTTTCCAGGGGGAAAGCAGAGCCACAAGCAAAGGCCTCCGATGTGTGGGGCAGGGTTGTCAGACTTGTCCTTCTAACGGCCCAGAGAGCATACTGTGCGCGTTGAATCATGCGAGCGAAACACGCAGAGGCTGTCTTGACTTCTCTTATGGGCCAGGTCTACGTGTCATGCGGGACATGCTCTCTCAGGACCGCAGATCTCCCATCAGCTAGAAAAGACACCGCGCGACGAGTCTGAGATCTGGTCAGGAAGGCCGCAGCGAGCGGACGCATGGTCGCTACCTCCTACGCTTGGCCCTGAGATGTGGACGTCTTCATGGATTCGGGGCTCTGTGATGCATGAAGGTTTGAGCAACCACGGACAGGGCCGGCACATTCGGTTCCTGGCGTGGGGCTGATTTTAAGCCCCATGTTTGTCATTTGTGGCATGGGTGCATGATGTTGCCACCGGTTGTTGGTGGGGTACCAAGGACCAGCTTCCCTTCTTCATCAGGTGCTTGTGTCAGATGTCGGGCTAGGCTCTTTCGGAGTCTTTGGTTCTTGCTTGAGCGCTTGAAGGCCTTTGTGGCATACCATCCGAGCAGTTTGGCGAAGTGACTCCGGTGAGGTGGGAGAACGGGCTTGAAGTGATCAAGACTTTGAAATGGACTCAGGCAGCAATTGAGATTAATCGAGAAGAGCCTCACGTAACGCACGGAGACAACATGAATGAATAACAATCTACAGAACGATAAGAATGACAAGAAGGATCATGACAAGAGGAGGGTAAAGAATACTAGTAAATCTAAAAGACGTGTGATGTGACCAATGTCAACCCGAAAGAAGGAATGACATGAAGAAGGAGGACATCATCATCATCATCATCATCATCACCAGCATCAACAGCGGCAGCTGCAGCAAGAGCAACAGCAACACCAATCAAAACCTCAGCACGTTCAGCAGCATCAACATCAGCACAGTAAGTCTACCTTGATTATAGTGATCTACTGCTACCATGGGCTTGATGATGACTTTGACGCGGATCAGTCTGGCAGTTGTTGTTTGTATCCAATGGTTTTGCGCAGGTCGTGGAACTGTCCGGAGCAGATGCATTGCGACGCCTGGCATTGACGTCACCGGGCCGAATTGAGTAGTATTTTATTTGGGGATATTATGGTACCCATTATAGAGTAAGATTATATCCTCCTTTTGGGGTATAGTATTTCATGTAAGGAATATTATCTTACTAGGTTTAACCAACAAAAGCGCCACTCAATTGGTGCCTGAATGTCGTCAGGGTCCCTTGCCCTCAATCCTGATAAGATTGTACCAAGAACTGCTCTCTGGAGTGTGGGCGCACGGGGAATATTCTGTCTAGAATACGTGGGGTCTAATCGGGAGGAGAATGGGGGTCTTTTCTTGAAGATCGTTTTGTACACCTTTTCGTACGAAGCTCCTTTAGGTTCACGGCGTCGGACGGCATTCGCTCACCGACCGACCTGTCCCTGACATTGGTCGGGGGCTGAGAGCTTCAGATCCTGGGCCATCCATGAAATTATCCACCGTTGGCACGTTTCAGAAATACTCAACGACAGACCCCCTACCCCTGCGCAGGTTTGCCGGAGCGACGAGCTAAAGTTCCGCCTGTTCAAACATGTCTAACGTCGGTCAGAAGTCCTGGAAATCATGCGTGTAGTGTGTAAAACAATAAACGAGATCAGCATTTCTGCCTTTGAACGCAAAATTGTTGAGAAACGAGATTCAAGGCCCTACTCAAATGCAGCGAGATAGTAGATTCAGTCAGTTGGTGTCAAGCGTAGTAGGAAAGAGATGGCCGCCCCCAACATGCTCCGGAGTATGCAAAACGAGATGGAACGAGATTTCAGCATGAGTATGGGACTTTTGACTATAGGCCAGACAAGAAGTTTTGTCCGCTGCTCACCTTATGTTCTCTGCAAGGACTTGGCACCACATAGCTCTGTCAGCGTCTTCCTGGACGTCCTGCCGCTCATCTTACCAGCAATCTCAAAGGGGATCACAGGGTACTCAACCGATGCAAGGTAAGATTACACATGTCCACGTCTCCAAGCAAAACAACGTTTCTTATGTCATCAGGTGTTTGCCAACTGAAGCTGAAACTATGCTCATCTCCAACATTGCTCTACCATTCTGCCAGCCAAGAGCATGAAAGCCGCGTGAGACCAGAGGAAGAACTTCATCCCCTTCCGCGAGTTCTCCTATGCCTGCGAGAAGGCACCATGCTCTTTGAGCTGGATCGCCCGTCCATGACGCTACCCAGATGAGCTTATCTTCTGCCTGTGAGGGCTTTGATGTTGGCGGTGCCGTTTGGCTGGATGCTGATCTAGACGTCGCTGGGACAGGCACGGATTTCTCTTGCTCGTGGGAACTTGTGGACTGCTGAGCTCCTCTTGCAGGCGCTGTTGGGATGGACTTCATCGCGTCCTTGGGTCCGCACCTCCCTTGGAGCGGGTCATCACTATGGCATCACTGCGCTTGATGCATCGACCCAAGGCATTGAGCGAATTGCTGTGTAGTGTGAGGCCTGCCATCCATGACCACAAAGCACCAGCAAGGAATTGGAGGCGCATCGTCTTGCTGAGGGCAGCGGACATTCAGTGATGTATGATCCTCACGTTGTTCTTGTATGTCTCCCTTTTCCTAGGCAGTCCTGATAGTGCCTAGAGCTCCACGCCTCTAGGCTTCACTTCACCGAAGGCATGCTGGTCATGGTGCCAATGTCCCGACCTTGTGCCATTCTTCTGCATGTGTGGAATAGACTTAATGGAAAAAAGACAATGGAAATTACGACGTAGTGGATTCCGTCTTTTTTTCCACATGTTGTTTCCGACTATCCCAGTTCTTGTTTAATACGCTGCCCAACAACAGACGACAGTACTGTCCTGTGCAACACACCACAACGCGAGCATGTAAAGCGATCCCTGGGAACCATGGTATGTATCCCTATATAAACCCTATATTACCTGTATATAGCTCGAATATAATCCCTATCTGATACCTATATAACTTATAACCCCAATTAAGCCCTAAACCCTAAACCCGTTATAGTAGCTTCCATTTTCTCTTCCATTATCCCTATATTCTATCATATTACCTCCCCCCATATTACCACCATATATCCCTATATAGAAAGTATATAACTATATAACCCCCAAAATAATCCCTATATAATCTTTATATAACATAGTAGTTTCCAGTTTCTTTTCCATTATCCCTATATGATAGTTTACCAAAATAAGGGGTCCCCAATATAGACCCCAAAAGACTATAGTCCTTGTTATAGGGACTCCCAAAATGGTACCCCTAATTTTAGGAAACCCCCATATAACCCCAATATGCACCCCCAAAAAGAACTGTCCGTGCACTGCTACACACGCCTTCTTCAGGCCGGACTTCAGCATGCCCTTCAATGCTTCCAGCTTAGCTCTGGGGTTTAGGGTTTAGGGTGCAGGGTTTCAGGTTTAGGGGTTTAGGGTTAAGGTTTTGTTTTTTACCGGTTCTCAGTAGAGAATAAGGGAATATTATATAGATATATACATATATTCCCTTATTTCCTACTGAGAACCAGTAAGTTTGCGGGGACTCAGGGAATCTGGGGAGTGTAAAGGGAGTTTGGTGATTTACTCATGAATATGAATACTTTATGGACTTCTGTATGGTACATTTATAAGTAGAAGTTATGGAACGGCATCCTTTGTGTAGGTGCACAAGCCTTTCAGCCTTGGAAACCACCCGTAGGAAATGTGATTATACAAAAGTTTCCGCTTAGATTTTAGGGGGCTGAAGTCTGGCTCCGTGGTGATGCCTGGACCCGCTATGCCTGCCCAGAAGGGGACCTTACTAGACACACAGAAACTTGAACTTCTGAGACCTTGGAGTTCCTCAAAATACTTCCAAGGAGGAATCCTTTGAACTCTTTCACTGCACCGTATCCCCAGGTCCTACAAGTAGCCCTCTTTTCGAGAAACCGCCACATCCCTTGATAGTCCCGGACCTGAGGTCATTGCACTTTCGTCCACTGCAGCGGCCTCGTCAGACGGTCAGGATACGTCCAACAGCTCGTGAGAGCATCGTAATATGTGAGGCGAAGTATGAATAGGATTGCCTGAGATTTTGGTGAGTGTACATGTGAGGTACGCATCCTAAATGTTCGCGGCCTATCTTATGCCCGAGTGAGAACCCTATACACAACCAAGACGTCCTTCCATGATCCAAGTGTAGAAATTGATGAAAACCAGTGTGGGGATTTGTGGTCGGTTTGTTGGGTCGCAGACGGACTAGGATTTAACTTGGCTCTGGGACCGCAATTCTGGTGAAAGTCAAGGCTGTGACCTTCTTCTTTGGGTCCATCTTCCGAATTACAGCGGCGGGTCGGCAAGCGCACTGGTGCACCGAAAGTCCACGGCCAAGAGCTGCTTGATGTAGTATTTGCATTCGCATTAATACTACAGTGTCATGCTGATCGTTTTTCCCTTGCCCTGTCTAGATAAAGTGGGTATTGACAGGGGCGACTGGAATGATAGGGACTTGCATTAGAGACAGAAACAGATTTACGCAAGAACGGTGATTTCTTGTCTGGACCTAGTACGAAGAGACCGCCTCTGAGGCGGGAGCAAGAAGCGCGCGCTCCATCCTGTACAGGCCTAGTTGAGGGCCATGAGTTGACAACTGCAAATTGCAAAGTGAGAGCAGCAGAAAGCCCAGGGACGATACTGATGACTATACACCCAGAACAAAGATAATGGTGACTAGTTGGTTGGTGAGATGAAGATTTCTGCTGTCCTGGAAGGGGCCGGGCGATCATGGTGAATGAGCAACAGTGCAGACATTCCCATACCTTTAGCACTGTTCTTGAGGCTTCAAAAGAGACCCTCATTTCGTCCTGTTACCTCCTGTCAAAAGGAACCAAGAAGATCACCTCTGTCAATTAGGCTTTACTTGGGCATGGGGATAGAGACCAGACATCAGATGGGGCTGGCCCTGCCCTGCAGCAGGTGCTTCTTTTGGGCACCATTGTGGGGACCGCCTGGCATCCTTGAAGCATAGGGTTCACTTCGAGCTTGTCTGCTTACCAACAAGAAGTTTCATTGGAGATGAGGAGTGTCTGCGAAGTTGTAAGTATTTCCTCTTGGAGCATGCGCTGCCAGGGCGATTGCGCTGAATCAAGTGACGCCGGAGCAGCTTGCTCAGTTCAGAGCCGTGCTACCCGAGGCCAGACGCGAAAGTGCTTGCCACATTCAGTGATCCCATGTTTGTGCATATGGTTTCCACTTGCCGAGCATGTAGGCCGGTGGCTATGGGCCTGAACTTTACGAACTTGTGGTTGCTGCCAAGGACTCGCTCATGGTTCATTGCAGTTCCATCTGACATATTGCGAGATAATCGCGCAGTGGAAGTAGCCCTTCGCTTTGCATCTTCGTCATCTTGGCAGGACAAAGTGGACAGTGTACTCTCCAAGAGGTGACATGACAGCCGGAGATCCACACATCCAGACCTTGGCGGTGCCAGACGACAGCGGCGTTCTCAAACGTGAAGGAGATGGCTGCAGAGCCTGATGAGGCCTCAGCTGGAGGCAGACAACATGCGCTCAGATGACCGTACGACAGCAACGTCATGGTGGCCTCACGCAGCGATCTCGGCGGAGCGGAGCAACCGAGTAAAAAGCACCGATTGCATTCTTCTCTTGTCTCTGATGTTGGCTCAATCCTGAGGGTCGAGCGACTTTTCGACGTTTGGCCTGAGGATTGATTCTGAGGTTACCGATGTGTGCGATTTCTGTGTCGTCTGACGTGACTTTTTGACTTTTGCTCTGCAATTTATCCTCATGTGCAGCAGCAGTATAAGGCCAATTCTCTAGGAAAAGCATTCCAGCTGTGAAATCGTTGCTAACGTTTTAAGCTTCAACTCAGGCACAAAGCACATCGTAGCTTACCCACCGTCGCTATGATTTGCAGGGAAATCCTGCTGCGGCGAACAAGCCTTTTCCTTGCTTGCTCTGAAGCCTAGGCTGGGGTGTGTTACTCTTTTCCATCTTTGAGACCATCCTTATCTGTCAACAGCTATCCGTGTGTTCTTAACAAATTTCACAGTTATGCCATCATGCGGACTGTTGACTGCAGTGCTTGCGGTGGCCTCGTTGTTCCCATCGTGGCAGTTCCTGCTCCCAGCATTGCTAGCATGAATTGCTCTGCCAAAAGTGGTGCTGATATTAGTATGGCTATTGTGACGATCACTCTCGCTATTGGTACTGCTACTGTCACCATTACTTGCCATTACTCGATTACCTATCATTGATCTGTACTTCAGCCCTACAAGGGCTGTAGTCTAAAGGGGGTTAGAAAGGGGATTACATAGGGGACCATATCAGGGGTTACTTTTTGAGGGGAATACTGGGAATTTAGATTAAAGTTTAGACTATGGTGCATAAGGGCTGGAATACAGCCACACGCCGCTTGACAGGTGGAGCTGTCCAGCGGTTTACGCCCTGATCTCTGCTGTTTCGCAGCCCAGAAATGATCGTGGCAGACTCCATGCTGTGTGTGTGAGAGACAGCACACGAGGAACCATCAATCTCTAGAGAATCTGCATGATTGACGTGGTCTCGATTTTAGTTTTTTTGGCTCCTTTTTCAGGACCAGTGGAAACTGGGCAGTCGTAAATTTCAAATCCTGTGAAGCCTGGGTTGCGCTCCTGCGCGAACGAAGACTCTCAGACTGAGGGGTGTCTGCTATGCACATGAGCTATAGTCTAAACACCTTAAAGGGAGGTTATATAGGGGATTATATAGGGCACTACTATAGGAGTTATCAAGGGGATGCTAGGAGTTTAGACTGTAGCTCACATGGGCTGCAAGGGGTTCAGAGGAACTTTGAAACCCCGAGGCGCGGAACAGCTCCAGAATGACAACTCTGCTGCAGGTTACGGACGTGAGCAGGTGCGACCCGCAGATATGCTTAGTCTTGAGAATTATTTTTTTATTTTGATGGCTGATGTAGGGTCTACAGCGAGAGCCAAAGTGAAGGCCCCACTTTCAAGACTCATGTTTGTGTGGGGTAGATGAAGATCAGAAACCCTCAGTGTACAGCAACGAGTCTGAAAACAAGGTCATCGTTTGCAGGCAGACGCCGGCACATGATTAATGTTGAAGGTGAACATCATCATCCTCCTCCTACTCCCTAAACCCTAAACCCTAAACCCGGTCTTTCTTGGTCATGGTTGGTCTTTTGATGGCTTGAGTCAGTGTCTTGCCTCGACGAAAAATGCCACGCCGCCTAGACGAAGCAGGTTCGCTCGAGACTCCAGACTGTTTGAAAATATTATTGATATTAATAATATTCTAATTACTATATTTTGAATAATATTAGTAGTATTTCTCTTCATATT